CTCCAGCATCTGCAGTTCCTACTATCTCTGATTCAATTTTAACCCCACTGCGAAGCCTCTTCTAAGGATGCCTAACCTGAAGAAGTTACCCTCCTCCCTCCAGACAAACCTCAAGGGATCTCTCTCCCACTGCAACTCTCTCCTCTCCACCTATCCTCTCCTCTATCCCTCTTCTATCCGCCTCCCACTCTCTCCCTATTTATTTCAAAACCCCCTTCCCCTCCCCCTTTTCTGATGAAGGGTCTAGGCCCGAAACGTCAGCCTCTCTGCTCCTATGATGCTGCTTGGCCTGCTGTGTTCATCCAGCCCTGCACCTTGTTGTCCCAAACTAAACCAGTCCCACTTGCCTGCTCCTAGCCCATATCCCTCCAAACTTTTCCTATTCATGTACTTACCAAAATGTAATTGTACCCACATCCACCACTTCTTCAGGAAGTTTATTCGACACATGAACATGAATTTTAAAATCTCACTCCTCTCACCTTAAACATGAGAGCCCTTGTCTTGAAATACCCCATCCTACGGATAAGGCAACTACCGTAACCTCCATCTACACCGGTCATTATTTCATAACTTCTATAAGGTCACCTCTCAACCTCCTACAATCCAGTGAAAAAAGTTCCAGCCTATCCAACCTTTATTACTCAAACCTTCTATACCCAGCAACATCCTGGTAAATCTCTTCTGAACCCTCTCCAGTTTAATAATAATGTTCCTATAACTGGACAACCAGAACTGGACACAGTATTCCAGAAGAGGCCTCATCCCTCTGCTTTTTGATTTACAGGTATTTCTAGGATGTTATTTGTAATAGAAATAAAATATTTGGATATGTATATATCTAAAGTATATATATATTTATATTTCAGCTGTCAGTTTTGTTGCAAATCTACGTGCAATCAGATATAGAGTCATTGCTTCTGTCATTTTACCATTTTTCAACCTCTGGCCTTATCTACTGGCACACACTTAAGTTTGTATATCCTATCCCTTCCTGTCATGTTCTGATTATTCTTCAGATTGCTACCTTACTCTTTTAACTTGTTAGTTTATTACATGCTCTCTCATGTGATTCCCTCCCCTCATTAGTTTAAAGATCTTAGTACTGTTCTAGTTATACAACTTTCCAGAACACTGGTTCCAGCACAATTCAGGTGAAAGCCATCCAAATAATACAGCTTCCACTTTCTCCAGCATTGGTGCTCGTGTCCCATGAATCAAAAGTGGCGACAACCTAGTGGCATTAACACTGGACTGTTAATCCAGAGACCTGGATAATGACCCAAGGACCTACGTTCAAATCCTTCCATGGTAGATTTTTTTGAAAAACCCATCTGGTTCAATAATGTCCTTTAGAGAAGGAAGCTGCTATCCTTACCCGGTCTGGCCTACATGTGACTCCAGACCCATACCAATGTGGTTGACACTGAAGCAACAATTAGGGATGGGCAATAAATGATGGCCTAACCAACGTACCGTCAATGAATAAAAAAAAAAAACCCGTTTCTCCACACCACTTTTTGAACCGTGCATTCAACTCTCTGATTTTATTTATCCTATACCAATTGTAAAAATGGTAATTATATAAATAAGGAATCTCAGATAGCTCTTAAGAATATCTAAGAATTCATATATAAGCATTAAAATAATGTTAAAATAATCATAGGCAAATACAAGAGAAACTTACGAAAGTGTTTTTTTTCCCGTCAAACTCAGTCACTCCTTCACGGACCAAACTGCCGTTAATGTATTTGTATTTAATGCCATTAATAGAGCATTCCCTGAACTTCATTTCATTTTCAGTCAGCGTTCCAGTTTTGTCTGTAAACACGTACTCCACCTAATAATAGAAAATATATAAATTGAAGAAGGGTCATTGGACTCAAAATGTTGACTATTTTCTCTCCACAGATGTTGCCAGACCTGAATTTCTCCAATAATTTCTGTTTACATTTGATGTAAACTGTACCTGTTTTAACACTTGCACAGTTTAACCCGTAAAAATTTCCACTGCACGTATACTTACCATGCATTGACCTTGCAAGTATATTTCAAGTATAAGACTCGGAAATAAGACCGTTATTAAATAGGCATTTCACTTCTGACAAAGAAATTTTGAGAAACACTGGCTGTTATACATAGGCATTAGTTTGTTTTCTGAAATTGTTTATTTTTCATTATCAATTTGATGGTAGCTTCCATTGTATTTTAAATTGACATATAAATTCAATTGTCTGGTAACTTTTTATTACTTCTATAACAGTCTCAGTGGTGACTTTCCTAGAATTTGATGTATCTTAGATGTCATTTTTAGATTTTTAAAGTTAAGCATTTCACCATCAGGGTCTCCAGGATTTCCAGATCAGTCGATCGACTCCCATAACATAGCAATTGGGACCCAATGCATACATATTCTGTTGTACATGGGAACTTATACATGTTGGACAGCATCGAATGCAGCAAGTTTTAGCAGTTGCTCAAGCCTGAAATGTAGTAGGCCTCAAAGATTTACTCGTTCATACATCAAGTTTCTTTAAAAATACGTTTCAGGATGTGGTCACCCCACAACTATAGAAGCTGCAGGAGCTGAGGGAGTGACTGTCAACAGCAGATCATCATGAAGATAGGTATAGACTTAAGAATCGTGAATGGGTAAAACTTGACAGGTAGAATTAAATAAAGAGAAATGTGAAGTGACACAAATCAAGAGAGAGTGTACAATGAAAGGCACAATCCTGTAAGTGTAGGACAATAGACACCTCTGTGTCTGTATAAACAAATCCTTGAAAAGCTGGTAGAACAAGTTGATAATGTGTTTTAAAAAAAAGGCATGGGTTACAAGGGTTGATAAATAGAGAAACAGAACATTAAAAAAAAATCAAGCTACGACTTTAAAGATCACTGGTTATGCCTCAGCTATTGTAGAAAACTAATGAAGTGTGACACTCAGCAAAGGACACAGGAGGTTGATCAGGATTTTCATATGAAGAGAGATTATAAATGTTAGGGAGGATTCTCTTTGGAACAAAATGTTAAAACTGTAACCTAATCAAGAGTTTTCACAATATTGAGAAGTTTTGATGGAGTAAAGATGGAAAAGTAATTCCTCTGGTGAACAGGTCAATAACTGGTGATTCTATATTCAAAATTATGGAGGGGAGTTGAGGAGAATCTTTCTCCATTCAAATGTTAGGACCTGGACAGGTCTACCTGAAAGAGGTTGTGGAAGATAATACCATTAAAAGGATTTAAACAGGAACTTTTTCAGGTACGTGAGGATGAAGAAAACTTACAGCGCGTAACCTATAACTTGCAGTCAAAAGGTCAAGCTGTAGGGCAAGGCATAAAAGCTATTTTAAAGAGTCAGCATGGTGCTCAAAACTGGCTATATACTTAGTATGAGAGATTAGCTTAAAATAGGTAAACCAAAAGGCAAGTAGTGGACACTGATTTTTAAAACGCAAATTAGCTTAAAGTTTCATTTCCATGAACCCCTTCGAGAATTTTTTTTGGTTAATTTCAACAGAGCCATTGTTAGACGAATAAATAAAGCAATAAGAGTTGTACAAAGCTGTGGTTGAATTAACTCTCAATTGAAAAATCTAAGCATCTCTCAAAAATTCTTCTTTTAAAAAATTCAAAACCAGGCATCCCACAAATGGGACATCAATTTCAACACCCTGTTTACATAAGGTTTCAAGGTATGCTCTCTCAATATATTGAAAGGTACATTACAATCAGGTAGGGAGGGACATTGCCTACACAGCAGGAGCATTTCTCACCGAGATCAAAATCAAAATAGTGGGAACAGGCTTTAGGGAAAATGTTATAAACAAGCGCGCACACACACACACAGACACAGAGAAATTAGGAAGCCCAGTGACCCAAAATATGATTGGATTTACAGGAAAAGATACTTAGATCTGATGCGATGCTGCATCCCAGGCACAAGCAAAAACTAAAACAATGCAAAGAAGATGGCTATAAACTGAATTATGCTGCCCACCGTTGAATGCTGGTGGAATGTGATGATTTAAAGGTTAACAATTGTCACAGGGGTAAAATAGCAGAAGCAAAAACATGCCAAAGAAATGAGAAATTAGAAATAGTGTTTTAGTATCTTGTTAGTTGCAGCGAAGGCACTAGGATTTCAGATGAGGTGAAACAAGAGAGTTAGGAAACAAAAACAAACTGCTGGAAGAACAGTTGAAAAAGGCAACAGAATAAAAATTGGGAATTTAAATCAATTGGAAATTTAAAACCAATTTTTTTAACTGACTGTAAATGCTGTCAACTTCTACACCAAGAAAATGCTTGTAAAATTTAAGATCGTATAGCAGATGTGAAGTTGAAGCATTTAAATGTTGTAAACCATAAGCTTAGAATAAAACTATGGCATATGGAAAGCACCTAAAAAGGAAAAAAATGATTGCTAACAATGCTCACTGTCAATTGCTGCCAAATACACATTCACATGCATAATATTAAGCTGAATTTTGGAAATAAAATAGATATCCTAAGTTTAAACTTTATTTTTCTTACACAAATCTACCTTTTGTTTCCATTTTTAGGCACCTTAGGTATTTGTCACTCTATGTTAAACAGGTTTATGAGATGTCATTGCTTGTACACATGCTCCTGGATGTCAGCAAGCACTGCTAAAGGAAACGTTATAAAGCACAATGGCAAAACTTAAAATTATGGAGAGAAAGGAATGCAACACATTCTGTTTCAAGCGAAAGACAACTGGATTTTATTGTCAGTATCTGCACAAATTAGAAACTTCCTGTAAATGAAAGTCTGCTCATATCAATACATTCCCATCCTCCCTTCTGCAGGGCCAAGGGTCTTCAACACTTTGTAGTCTGTACTTTAAAACTGGAAACACAAGTGGTTTTTGTTTTCTTTATGTATCCTAGACATACTCTCATTTTCATTGTGGGAAACTGGGTTTTTTTTTAAACTTGCGAATTGGTTGAAGCTGTGGGTTCCTTGTGCTCAGGAATGGGAATGTAACAGATCTTCGGTACTCAGAGTACTGATTCTGTGTAATGGGTTTTGAATTCAAAGTTGCTTGGAATTATGAAAGTGTGTACATCATTATACAACTAGTCTGTTCATTTTAAGAACATGCAACTAGAATTGGTAAAATATAAAACTGAGTTCCACTTCATGAAGATGGTGTGAAGAATTCAAATATCATTGATGACCACACTATCTTTGAGGCATGAGGGATTCTTTAATGACAGGGAGCAAGTTAATTCTTCAACTGAAAAAATATACATATACAGTCCAGTGGTGGGAAATCACTTAAAATACCAACCAATAACCTCGCAACTGACATGGTTAATAGAAGATTGAAAGACAGAGAGGAAAATGGCTCTCCTTCTCAAGGTAGGGAATCATGTGAGCATGAGGTGCCAAATGGCCTCCTCCTGTGCACTAAATTCCAATGATTACTTCTGCTGAAAACAGTTTAGAGAAGGCTTTCAGTTTCCTCAGGCTTGACTACTCAAAGATAGTTCACTGACAATGCAAATTAATTCTCACCTGCCCAAGTTCTTCGTTAAGGTCTGATGTGTTAACCTGTGCACGCTGACCTGTTGCATCATGATACAAGTCAAGATCCCATACAATGAAAAAAGATCCCAAGAACTTCTGCATCTCAACGGTAACATACAGTGAAATTGGAATGATGTAATTGTACAGCACCAAGAAAGCCAAGAAATCAGATATACCAGTCAGAATCTATTAAAAAAAACAATAATTACATCATTGAAACAAAGCAGTGTTATGACATCAATATGAACATGACATTGAAAACATACACATTATTCACCACAAATTTTTCAAGCTAAATGGTTTATCACCAGCTGAAAGAAAATTTCACTTACCAAACAGGGGGAGCGAGAGTGGAGAGCAAACAGGTAAAATAGGAGTACAGACGCATGTTTTTATTACTGTTTTTTTTTTTAAGAAGTTGAATCCAAAACTTTGCACAATTCCAAGGAGAAAAAAAAAATACCCAGTAGCATTTGTAATCAGTGAAAGCTTTCTCTAATCCTTAGTATTGATAAATTTTAAAATTGCACTTTAAAAGCGGGAACCACTGCAGCGTGGCTATATGTAATGCACATGTGCATAATTTAGTTAAACACTGAATGTTGAAAATAACATTATCCACATATACAGTCACACAAGTTTAACAGAACCTAAATCAAGTTATAATCTGTCCATACTCACTCTACTGCTGTTTTTCTCCTGTGTCGTTCTTTCATTGTACGAAGGTTCATACCACCAAGCGTATTTCAAGATGGTACTAATGACTGCTTCAATCACAAGAATTTCTAGGAAGACTATCAGAAAAGTGTTCATAGACCTAAACAAAATGGCAAAATATTACAATTATGACTTACTGCATTTTCTTTTGCTTCCCGAGAGTCACATTGTCTCAATTCTGCATGCATCCTATTACAGGGATATTATAACACAGAGCAGGTAGGGCTTGAATCCTGATCTCCTGGCTCAGAGGTAGGGTCTTTGCAACTGTGTTGCAAAAGCTCTGTGCATCTTACTATATACTGATAACATTCAAGGTATTAAAATGTTTATCGCATTATATACTTCCTATCTTCACAACAGCACAAGAAACAGGTGGTGTGGAAACGGACAAACTCAGTAAGATTATGGCTGATTATCTAGATCAACTCCACTATCTCACCCTGTGCTCACTCCATTCGGACTTCTTGTCATTGTATTTTTAAATACACACCTAGTATTGTTAGTTCTGCCCAGAGCAGTAATTTCAATAAAAAAAGTCTGAGTACGTGCAGTAAACTTAGCTACCAAGGACACAATACAACAGAGTTCACAACACCGAGAATATTTTTTTTTCAAAGTCTGCTCAAAGTCAGGGATAAAATTCAGAAGCTTCAGAGGTAAAATTCATACTGCTTTTCACAAAAATGGCAGAGAAGTATAGATATCTACACTCAATTATATTCGGTGGTTCTATTATTCTCTAAATTTCATGAAATAAAAAGACAGCAGACTGAGAAGGTGATAGGACATCG